ACTGTAAATAGAGTATACAAGAGTAACGTGAAATATCGACATGAAAAATATCATTCTGATAAACGGAATAAATAATTAGACTATTTTGTTTACCTAACGCATCGAGTTCTCTTCACAAAATTAAACAAAACTGTTCCTTCTGTGGTCTACTTATATCCATATAAGTAGTATATGGTGTGGGTCAGACATAGAATGTATTTTCGCAGAAGAACGATGAGGAAAGAACTGAAATGAAGCGCAATCGTTTGGAAAATGCATGAGCAATAGAATTAGAGAAAAAACAGTGAAAATTGAAACAATTGGCTGTTAATTTGCAAATCGACTGTTCATTGTTTGGTTATCAGAATTTACCGAGATAGTCTGTAATCTTTGCTTGTCCCCAACCAGTGTTCTGTTCACTACACTTCCAAGGGACAGTTGAAGTTATTAATTAGTATTCAGAAAATATATCTATTTCGTAGTTGAGTCTCAAACAGTTGCTATGCCTATATATACCAAAAATGTTCATTTCCAGTTCTATAATAAATTATACAATCAAGTGAATAGCGTGGCTAATGACGTCTTCTTCGTGCTAGTCCATCCTTATGTTTGCACAACAAATCTGAAGAGAGCTGTATTACTTTATACCGTCAAAGAGACTGAATTTCATCCAAGGTACTTAATGATGCTTTCATTTATGTGTAAAGGTATATATCATGCAAATAAACCATATGAAATTTTGAATAAATCCTGTATCAGGTTTGTATTTGCAAATGAAAGTAATGATACTTATCATTTCCTAGATTTTGGATTCGCCATAAAACATAATGTTTATGTTTTGAAAGGAAATTCGCAGCAAAAAAATTTCTAGAATTAAATGACTTTTGTCTGATAAACTATAAGTATGGTTTTGTGAAACCTCTGTATAGTATAGTGGAATATAATAATAAATGCAACGCAGGAACGAACGGTAATAAGCTTGAAAAGAAACTTTTCATCTGACTGAAGCTTAAAAATAATCAAATCGCAAATAAAAACTAACCAGTCTGAAGGCATCTTTAACCAGTAAATTTTCTGCCGACAAACACATATAATGCAATATTCAATAACGCAAATGAAAGCAGATAAATTACCGTCACACATCACCTCCAATCATATACATTAATTTACATTTACGTGCAAAATCAGATACATTGCAAGGACAGAAAAAACATGTATCATTGCGTTTTATTGATCTTATACCAAAAACTTAATTATCAGAAGATAACATAGGCCTCATAACTCCATAATGCGCAATTTACTTAACACCAGACATTAAGTATACACTTAAAATACGAAATAAACTGATATCTAACTTGATGTTCACTCCGGGGCTCGAACCCAGTACCCTCGCTTCAAACGCCATCGCGTTACCCACTCGGCCACTGAGTTTTGATAGCCACTTGCTTGTGCGATGGGGTGAAGTTGAAATTCATTCAGTTTTGTTTGTTTGAATCTTCCCATCGATTTGCTAGGACTGCAACTGGTCAGTCTCTAATTGACATATGTGCATACTGTGCGTATTGCCTCAATATAGCCTTAATTCACAAGCAGCTTCCAAATGCCCTGGTACGGCCGAGAGTGGGGAGAGTCTATTCTCACTCTCGAAATGCTCTCATATGGCCAGCGAATATATAGCCTCTGTCAGGGAAGTCCTACTCACTGCCTTCTCGTGGCGGGGGTGTTGTTTACGAAAGTGAGAGGACGAAAAGCGAATGTCCGGCGCTTTAACCGGGTTGGTGGACACGGAGGGTCCACCTAGGGGAGTTGGAAAACCCTGATTCCAAACCAATGGTGCACATCGGCTCCAGTATCCTGATGGAACGAATGGCGGACGAACCTGTCATTGGTCAACGGCTACCATGGGACTGCATCTCCTCACGATGCTCCACTGCCTTGTGGATCAGACCTTTTGGTCAAAGGCTCGGGGTGTGGCCCCCTAAGAAAGCCACCTGCTTCGGTTTGGGCACCCGGGCAGCATCACAGCCCACACACAAATAAATGAAATGATGAACTCTATTGACGATACTATCCCTGCTGATACTAGAAGCAAGACAATTTACATTATTATTATTTACCATATGGCTAACTCACCCCCTTTTATCCCCAATTTGTGTAACCTTACTTTTCAACTTATGCAGCAGCTCGCCCATGGTGGAAAATCTGTCCTATCTAAACGATCTCCAGTCACTGTCTGGTTGAAAGTGAATGCTTCCACCGATTATGAATACTGAAGCAGTCTTTCTGAAACCACGTACGCCGTTCAAGCTTCTTCTGTTGGTTCTTCACGACTCCCTGGCTGGGGTCCGAGAGATGGTGCAACACAGTGGCTAGAGACGTTATCAGATATGGCTCAGAATAGAAACCAGTGGCGATCCTGCTGCAACCTTCTTTTACTTTCTACATAAAGAATGGTTCTAACTTTCTTAACTGAAAGAGTCTTCTGGTTGTACATTTCAGTCCGCCATATCTTTTCATCCCTTCTCTTGCTACTTTCATTATTTTGTGTGGCGCATATGTACCTGGTGCCCTTTTGTACCAATATATATGTGTTTAAATAAATAAATAATTCACAAGCATGGTTAGCAGAGATGGATAGTGGCTAGCAGTGGAATCCAGGACGCACGTTTTGTCCTATTTGGGACTCGTCAGCGGCCGAGTGGATAACGCGATGGCGTTTGAGGCGAGGGTACTAGGTTCGAGTCCCAGAGTGAAAATCAGCTCTGAGATGCAGGTACATCCAGCTGACGAGTCCCAAATAGGACGAAACGCGCGTCCTGGATTTCACTGCTAGCCACTATCCATCTCTGCAATCCTTAACATTATTTGTAACAAATGGATCGAACAACTATCTCGTATAAACATTTAAACAACCCAACACATTCTTCTTTCCCATTATACACAGTTTATGATAGATAAAGAATACTTGTTATCTATTTCACAACACAGTATTTTGACTAATCACTTACGAAGAGCTCTTGAAGCATTATCAAATTTTCTTCTTTATTCCGTCTAATAATTAAACACTATTTTAATAATTACATAATGGTTGACGTCTTTCAAATTTATAAACGCCTATCCATTTTATTGCTTTCTTTTTAAGTAACATCACTTTCGGAATTATTGTGAAAATATTTAAAATTATATTGATGTTACATTCTCTCGACTTTTTAAATGTCAGCAATAGTTTCAATAGAAACCATCGATATTTAGCATTAATGCCTTCCAATAGTATTAACTGTATGAAGCACTTGTTTGTCTATTTAGAATTTAATTAAACATTTAGTATATGTGGGAATTCGTAACACTGTCCAGCTATTTTGATTGAATTTAGTGAAGCAGTGCTTGAATATTCAACTTTGTTGATCAAAAGTTGAATGTTGAAACGATTAAGCTGACGCTCCATTAAATGAACGAAGAAACCAATGAACGTCTGCTATCTAAATTATTTAAAATTCTTGTCATTCGCACCCTGGAGACTTAATTTGATTGTAAACTACATAAACTAATCACCAATATCATTAGACATACATTGTCTGGCATAGCTTTAAGAAGTAACATTAAAGAATTCAATCAACCTATTTGTAGGCAAAAGAAAATGAAATGAATATTTGGTTAACAAAGGCTTCCTCTACAACTTATTTGTATATATTTGTAAATGGATTTAAAATCTAAGATTATTTCTCAAGATCAATTTATTAAATATCAAACAAATATTACTTTGTTATTTCATGGTGTTGTATAGATTGTTTAGTTTGGAGTTTCACATCATGAACTTTAGTTAGACAACCATTAAAGACAAGGAAGCATTGAGTAACTGTTTCGTCTAATAGAATAAGAATCTCAATGAGTATCTAATACAAATTAATTGATGATGTAAAACATTAAGTTGGATGCATTTCTACTTTTAACTCAGTATGTAATGAAGAAATAATTTAAAATAAATTGTGTAAAATAAAACCATAGGAAACTCTACAATAGTTTTTTGTAAGATAAAATATTGTCAGGAATAGATTAGACAACTTAATTTCAAGACAGGAAGTATTGCAAAAAATGTACAATCACTTTACTTTTTATATTAAATCACAATATAGTTAGCGTATGTCTGACTTGTCAGGAAATTCAGTGTGCATACTATAATGCACTTAGTTTTGTTTTGTTCTCCCAATTTCATTCCTAAAAAACCAGCATAAGATAATCATAATGCGCATTCAACTGAACGATATCAGTAGATTAAAAATTTTTTTCTGTTATCATGAAGACTAAGAAGCAGAGCAAATTTCTTTTTCTAGAAAAAGACAATAAATAAATAATCCAAATGTTTTACAAGAAAACAAAACAGAACACATAAATAATGTAGAAAAATAAATGATGCATTGGATACTAGATGTTGCTTTAAAAGTACAGCTGATATAATCATTAAAACGTACTTTCTTAAATACACAAAAGTTGGTTTAAAAGTAACGTTTTTTTTGATACAAAAAAATACAGAAGTCGAAATACGACAAGTTATGAAAGACATGGGTAAATGAAAAAAAATAAGTTAAGGCGTGGCAAATAACATCCTCTTCGACTAACACGCACAGGCGCTGACACAAACACACGAAGTACATCGTTCAACTTACCGTATAAAAACAGTAATTATGACAGAATTGGTTTAAACAGCAAAAACAGAACAGCTGTTGAATATGAAGAAGAAAAAACAAACTGATTTTTATTCGAATTTGTAGATGTAAGTGAAGTGTAGAATTAATGATGGATGATAATGATAAAGTTGTGTATATAAAAGAGAACAAGCTGTGTAAATTGTAAAACTAAAAAAAGAATATTATAAATTTGATAACAACCTCAAAATTATTACATTTCATGATATTTATATAGTTTGACAAGAGAATTATTATTCCAAGTTAGTCAAAGAGAAATCACCGATAGTCAACTGAAATACCTTAACAACTATTCCAACTGTCAAATTTATACTGATTTTAATCAAGGTTAGATTCCAGTGATTTCGATACAGATTCGCCAAGTGAGTGACTATCTACATCGGTAGCTAAATCATGACCAGCATTAACGATGTTTGAATCAGGACCATGTGCAACTGTATAACCAAATAGTCTACTAAACCTGTGTATAACACAGAAAAACGAAGAACACATACAGAGAGTAAATAAACAAATGACAAGGCAGTATGTTATGTTATATTAGTTTGTAACTCTGTTATTATGTTTCAATAGAAAAACGAATTCCAACTATGGTACACGTATAGAAAGCAAACGACAATAAATGTTACTAAAAGTAAATATGACTTATTAGATACGTTAAGCACAAATTCATAACATCTTCTTGTCTAATAATGACCACACTATTATATTTCTTGACTAGATATTGACTAGGAATTATCAGTATAGGGTAGGAGAGACTGTTCAGTATCATTGAAATCATAAACTAATCAATGGTGGTTTAACATTAATAAGTTCATGATATATAGAAGTAACAAAAATTACGATGATGATGCTAGTATTTACCTTAGATATGAAGAAAGTGAACTTTCATGGTTCCCTCGTCGTTACATTCAAAGTTTACGATCATGATTATCATTAAAATAATACTAAAGACCTTATGAAAATGAGTAGTCTTGGTACATGAACTTATATTTAACAATCTAAAGCAGAAAATGAGTATTTCCCCTTCTTTTTATGTTTTCAAGATCCACGGGAACTAATGATCATTATAAAATGTGAACTCTAGTCCAATTATGAACAGTATGTGAATACAAAAAGGTATTCGATTGAATAAATCCGTCAGTTTACACAATGAATTCACTCATTATTGATATGTGTCCTAATATGGATTATTTTAGATCTTTTATTTACAAAACTATTTAGTAACAGAATGATCCTAGTGTAGAAGATTGACAGGTGTTTAAGTTATCTGATTCCTTCGAAATATTCTGTTATACAAGGTACTAAAGATTTACATGTCAAGTGAGAAGTAAAAGTAGTAGAAATTTAATCATTGTCCCAGAAAATGAATAACTGTTGGGAAAGTAGCCCAACTTTATCAGACAAGTGCAACTTTAGTAGCCCTATATCTGACTCCAGGTAGATTGTTTGCTGCTTTTTATCAAAATATTCATGTCACTAATCCTCGTACATAATCATCGACTTAACTCGCATAAGTGAATAACGGAATTAAATAAGTCAAATACGAGAATGAGGTTTGAATAAATTTATTTCGTACACTTATTGACGTAGGACGAGGCGAAGAAGAGAGAGAAACGAAACTAAGTGACGCGCAATGGAGCCGACTCGATTTAATCGGGAGTGAATCGATATTTATAGTCAAACGAAAATAAGTTACAAGAAATGTTATGAGTAAGATAAGAAATACACTCACATACGCTCACATAAAAACATTCAAGGTTGATAAACGAATAATTAACAAGGTCAAATTGTGATTCAAGAAGAATGAATAAAATAGTCTATCAGAAAGCTAGAATAAGCTATGTGGGCTTGCACAGCACTACAAATGTACACTTTCGAAAGTCCACCACATAATTTTTCTCATATCAAATAAATAAGTAGTAAGTAACACATCATATGAACACATGAACATTTATGCCGCATATTTTTATGATCAATGAAAACATAAAAACTTAGCTACGTAGTAAGAGCTAATAGTTAAGCAGTAGTTTCTAAACTGCTACGCAAGCATTTGCACTTTTAAGTGACGAGTCCCACACAGGACGAAACGCACGTTTTGGATTCCACTGTTAGCCATTATACATTTCTGCTTATAATACTATGCAAACAGTTACATATAAAACATTAACATGGGAATTCTAGTGGGACAATTCAGTTTTGTAATCTGACCAACATATAATATTGATAATAAAATACAATGATAACTTATAACATGACTAGTGAGTCAAAATATTTGAGTCATTCAATCAGGAATTACAGTGATGCATTATCTTGAAGGTTGGTAGGTGACATAATCCTACTAGCAGACATAAAAATAAATCCAGAATTTCTCTAACATATATAACACGTAGCCCAGTCTATGTTGATTGATGTAAAATATGACTTACCCACGTGAGGGACATTTGTAAGTGAAAAGTATTTTTATCACACATTCTTTCAGTACACTGCTCACGTGTACTGTAACCACGGAGTGAGTAATCCTGAAGTTTAGCGAAAAGTACTTGGTAAAGATGATAAATCGGTAGATGAGGCATCTGACCTACACTAAACAACGGTTGAGACATCTGTTGTATATGCCCACTTACCACTCACACAGACTCGCACCCTATGGTGAAAATCAGTTCTCTCAAGATAACAAACACACCTTGATGATCAGTGCTAACTAGTACAGAACCTAGATCAATAGCTTCCTGTTGATTACCTCCAACCATCTAACACAAAAGATATAGTGCATGGAAGCTCGATGACTTGTGGTCGCATTGTCAATTGAAGAGCATTCAAGACTAGACAAATAGGACATTGGTTACTGCTTAGTGAGAAATTAACGTATTTTACAGATTCATCGGGAGGATAACTAGTATTCCTTATTCACTTCAAACGCATACTCGACTCATTTACAATTAAATACCATTTAACCCAGCAGAAGTTACATGATACAATATAGTGAGTATACATTGTTTAGGAATTCTGTGGTGATTATAAGTTACTGTGCAGTGAAAACTATAATCAGATAACACAAAACTTTTGAAATGAAAATAAAACATCCGAATAAACTCTTTTTTAACAGAAGGTACACCGATCAACTGTTTTAGAAAATCACTTATTATAATTAATCTCAAATTAATATACGCCTTGTACACTGTAAAAAGACATCAAAAGGATGAATAACAACTGGAAAGGAATATCCAAGACAGAGTTCGATGGAAAATCTTGATGGGTGATCTATCCTCCTTCACGAGGAGTAACAGGCGTAAGTAAGTTGTACAATGTTTATTTAAAAACAAATAAGTGAAAATGATAACTGAAATTAAATCAATAAACAATTTCAAAACAGTTATATATTAATCAATTCTATTAAAAATTGCAAAGTAATTGTCACGATACACATGTGATAGGATTATTGTCTTCATGTTCACTTAAGTAAAATTAATCGAATTTTGTCACAAGAATGATAATAGTGACCAAACAAATCATGAGAATCAACGAGGAATAGTACGTATAAACCTTTCTCAGATCACGTTTTGGGCCCTTGTTATTTTTTCATGTACATATGACTATGAGTAGTGATAATAATAATAATAGTACTAGTATTATTATTATAAATGGTCAGTATTTTACCATTTCCTCAAAAATATTTTTAGTCCTAATTACAAAAAAATCTACTTATTCATGAACATGATTTTTTTGTGAAAGAAAAAAAATACTATAAGAAACTAATAACCAATCAATTTGTATGGAATTTACTTCAAATGATCTGGTGTTGAAACATTTATCAGATTAAATCTATTTATCAATCCGCTAATAGACTATAAAAGCACAAAAATTATTCAGATATCTAATAGATTTTTAATCTCTGATAGATTACACAAAATGAAATTCTTATCTAACATAATATTAATGACTAGTAACCATTAGGGGATAACTTGTCATTTGTTATGTTTAAGATAGAATATCATAAGCTTAGTTTCCAGCTACTCGAAAGCGTTCATGAAAAAATTGAATAAAATTAAGAGCAAGTATTGATGAACAGATTTAGTCTATATTCTAATATTTGTGATTAAGTCACTGAAACAACCGACTTAGGTTAACTACAACAAAAAACAATACACTAATTGTACTAAAAAGAAAAAAGGAGTTGAATGAATAGTCCTTACCACTTTACGAATAGTGATAAACATTGGAAAACCGAAATGTATTTTTTAACTGACAATTCCATTGATGTTGCTTTTTTTTGATTTTCGAAAAATAACTTTGATTAGTATTAATCCTTCTCTTCCAATTAATGTTAGTTTATAATCGATGTCATCATATAATTATTACGTAACGTATCTACTCCATGAGTGTTATTTAATTTTCATAGTTTTAAAGCATGAGTCAATTGAAGCTAGACCACCATGGAAAACCTGGAAACACTGGACGGCCGTTTCGTCCTATTATGGGACTCCTCAGCAGTGCGCATCCACGAACCCGCTCGCGCGAGATTCGAACCCAGGACCTACCAGTTACGAGCCGAAGCCCTTAACCGATAGACCACTGAGCTGGCATCCAACGGTGTTAATGTCTAACTTCAACTGATCCACGAAGTTGAGCAACCATTCACCAATTGTCTTCAGTGAGTTCCTATCTCACAACAGACGTGGTTTTGAACTCCACTGGTCACTGCTTCTCACTAGAGCTCCTAGTTATACTTCTCGAAGTCACTGGTGAGCATATGATTATATTAATTATCAGAGGGGGTTTTGTGGAGATTTAGTATTTTTCATAGTTTTAAAGCATGAGTCAATTGAAGCTAGACCACCATGGAAAACCTGGAAACACTGGACGGCCGTTTCGTCCTATTATGGGACTCCTCAGCAGTGCGCATCCACGAACCCGCTCGCGCGAGATTCGAACCCAGGACCTACCAGTTACGAGCCGAAGCCCTTAACCGATAGACCACTGAGCTGGCATCCAACGGTGTTAATGTCTAACTTCAACTGATCCACGAAGTTGAGCAACCATTCACCAATTGTCTTCAGTGAGTTCCTATCTCACAACAGACGTGGTTTTGAACTCCACTGGTCACTGCTTCTCACTAGAGCTCCTAGTTATACTTCTCGAAGTCACTGGTGAGCATATGATTATATTAATTATCAGAGGGGGTTTTGTGGAGATTTAGTATTTTTCATAGTTTTAAAGCATGAGTCAATTGAAGCTAGACCACCATGGAAAACCTGGAAACACTGGACGGCCGTTTCGTCCTATTATGGGACTCCTCAGCAGTGCGCATCCACGAACCCGCTCGCGCGAGATTCGAACCCAGGACCTACCAGTTACGAGCCGAAGCCCTTAACCGATAGACCACTGAGCTGGCATCCAACGGTGTTAATGTCTAACTTCAACTGATCCACGAAGTTGAGCAACCATTCACCAATTGTCTTCAGTGAGTTCCTATCTCACAACAGACGTGGTTTTGAACTCCACTGGTCACTGCTTCTCACTAGAGCTCCTAGTTATACTTCTCGAAGTCACTGGTGAGCATATGATTATATTAATTATCAGAGGGGGTTTTGTGGAGATTTAGTATTTTTCATAGTTTTAAAGCATGAGTCAATTGAAGCTAGACCACCATGGAAAACCTGGAAACACTGGACGGCCGTTTCGTCCTATTATGGGACTCCTCAGCAGTGCGCATCCACGAACCCGCTCGCGCGAGATTCGAACCCAGGACCTACCAGTTACGAGCCGAAGCCCTTAACCGATAGACCACTGAGCTGGCATCCAACGGTGTTAATGTCTAACTTCAACTGATCCACGAAGTTGAGCAACCATTCACCAATTGTCTTCAGTGAGTTCCTATCTCACAACAGACGTGGTTTTGAACTCCACTGGTCACTGCTTCTCACTAGAGCTCCTAGTTATACTTCTCGAAGTCACTGGTGAGCATATGATTATATTAATTATCAGAGGGGGTTTTGTGGAGATTTAGTATTTTTCATAGTTTTAAAGCATGAGTCAATTGAAGCTAGACCACCATGGAAAACCTGGAAACACTGGACGGCCGTTTCGTCCTATTATGGGACTCCTCAGCAGTGCGCATCCACGAACCCGCTCGCGCGAGATTCGAACCCAGGACCTACCAGTTACGAGCCGAAGCCCTTAACCGATAGACCACTGAGCTGGCATCCAACGGTGTTAATGTCTAACTTCAACTGATCCACGAAGTTGAGCAACCATTCACCAATTGTCTTCAGTGAGTTCCTATCTCACAACAGACGTGGTTTTGAACTCCACTGGTCACTGCTTCTCACTAGAGCTCCTAGTTATACTTCTCGAAGTCACTGGTGAGCATATGATTATATTAATTATCAGAGGGGGTTTTGTGGAGATTTAGTATTTTTCATAGTTTTAAAGCATGAGTCAATTGAAGCTAGACCACCATGGAAAACCTGGAAACACTGGACGGCCGTTTCGTCCTATTATGGGACTCCTCAGCAGTGCGCATCCACGAACCCGCTCGCGCGAGATTCGAACCCAGGACCTACCAGTTACGAGCCGAAGCCCTTAACCGATAGACCACTGAGCTGGCATCCAACGGTGTTAATGTCTAACTTCAACTGATCCACGAAGTTGAGCAACCATTCACGAATTGTCTTCAGTGAGTTCCTATCTCACAACAGACGTGGTTTTGAACTCCACTGGTCACTGCTTCTCACTAGAGCTCCTAGATATGCTTCTCGAAGTCACTAGTGAGCATCTGATTATATTAATTATCAGGAGGGTGAATGGTTACTCAACTTCGTGGATCAGTTGAAGTTAGACATTAACACCGTTGGATGCCAGCTCAGTGGTCTATCGGTTAAGGGCTTCGGCTTGAGACTGGTAGGTCCTGGGTTCGAATCTCGCGCGAGCGGGTTCGTGGATGCGCACTGCTGAGGAGTCCCATAATAGGACGAAACGGCCGTCCAGTGTTTCCAGGTTTTCCATGGTGGTCTAGCTTCAATTGACTCATGCTTTAAAACTATGAAAAATACTAAATCTCCACAAAACCCCCTCTGTTATTTAATTATTGTAAATCATATATATTAGTGTAGAGCCATGATGAAAAACTAATTGAAAAGAAATTTCTTCGCTCGATTCGTTCCTTTTTATTTATCAAATGTCAAAATGGGAATTTTTACTAAAAATTGTTCAGTTCAATTTATTAAATCTAACTGTTTAGAAGATCACTGAATCACTGTTCATATTTATCCAAAATTAATTGAATTGACGAGACCATTATTTAAGGACGACCATTTAACGAATTTCAAGTGACCTAATTTGAAAAGATTCAGCCAACCAGGAAACAGCCGGTATCGAGTAAGAATATATCATACAAAACCAAAATATTAGAGTGGATACACTTCTTTGACATGGTTTAAAAACATTTCACGGTTAGAAAGAGTCTCTGTAGTTCCGAAATCGTAATGCATAGGATACAGGAACTCATCCATATAATTCCATAATAATCGACCTCTAGAGCCATGACAAGGTCGCGAAAATTCTTGTAGCCTCGATCACATTGCTTCTTTATTATTGGTGTGTAGTCCCGTGGTGGGGTCTACTTACTGTCGCTTGTGAACGATACGATGCACGTAACCAAGTCCGAATGGGCATCGATATGTTCTCCAATCAACCGTGTATATTATGGTACCTGGCTGCACATACTTTCATATAACTGGTAATATTGTTGTAGCCTGTCAGTTTCTCACGCTCTGAAAGTGTCGCTTTTGAGGTGACCTATCATATGTACCTAGGGCCTACTAAGTATACTTAAGGTAAAGCGACTTGTGAAGTGTCCTTTAACAGTTTTTCCTCTGTTAAATTTGCGTCTTCTAAAGACTGTTTCATCGATTTCTAAGATTCTCCCGATTCCCCCAAAAGACTGATTCAAGCTTGTCATTTTCATTGCAAATGTATATCAATAGTACTCATACCATTGAAATGCCGAAGCTTCAGTAACATCTAGAAAGGTTGCAGCCAGTGTTGCTGGTGCTTTTATTATCCAATTCGCAACAATTATCATAACCTCGGTCAGTCAGAACGCAGAACTTCGTATATATGTACATCAGTTCGAGTTGCCATACCACATTAACACACAGATGCAGTTGTCGATTCAAATCCCATATTGGTAGAAGTAGTAAGAGTATAATCAGTAACCCGAAAGATTAGGGTTTGAAGATGTTATTCAAGCAGTATAATCCAGTGAAATAAATTTGAAAAGAGAAAAAAGATAGGGACATGAAGAATCCAGAAGATAAGAATTTAGCAGAACATAAAGAGTGCATGCACCTTCTCCATTGCAAACGATTCTGAGCCATGTCATTCAAGGTCTCTAACCATCGGTTGCTATCATCTCGTGAATCCCAACCAGGTAGTTTACACCTACCAACATGGCTCAGTCCACTTGTCAGTGACTTCATGGATTTGTGCCACGTTTTGGTTTGGCCGCCCCTAGCTTTCTTCCGACCTAGTTCTACACCATAAAACATCGCACATCGAACCTTAGTGTCAATCGGGATCAAGTAAAAAACGTCCCCGTTCTAGCAGACGTTTTTCCCCAACATATATTACATCGAAATACAACATCGTCGCGATAGTCTGTACAATGTTCAGCAGTCGTTTGAGCACCGCAATCACAAATAAAAGAACTTCTCAGTAATCCCATCTAATGTAGCCACTCAACTATGACGTCCTCTTTGGAATACGCTTTAAATGACCGTAAATGAGCTTTGGGTATTGAAATAGGCCCCGTGATCTTGAGATCGCTCACTCGATTCTGATTGTCTCATCCAGAAGTTAAAGTTTGGCTACTGAATTTAAATAATTTGGTAAATCAGCAATAAACGAGAGATATTATTGATCTTGAGCATATATAAACCATTATAAAATCCAGTTATTACATAAATTTCTCACCACACAATACGTGTATAGTAACTTACATGTTTCTTAATCCAACAGATTTCCTCCGTTTATTATTTGAGGCATTCATATACTGAACTGATATATTGTGGGAACCTTGTGACAAAGAGTAGTTAGAATCATTTAACTGATATGGACTAAGACATTGAGCTTCTGACGGCAAAACAGAAGCTAAAGGAACAGCCTGATCAAAAGTTGAAAATAATCCAGTTAAACCCGACTGGACGGTTGAAAAGAATGATCTTGGTACCCAACGCTCAAAACTATCAGCTGTCGAAACTTGTAAACGAGAACTGTGATCTGCTCGTAATCTCTCCATTAAGCGTAATGCATCTTGTAGTTCCAAGAATTTCTCTTTATAACTGTTACGTTCTGCGATAACACGAGCCATCTCTCGTTTAGTGAAGAAAGCTTCACCGAATTTCGGTACCTAATTGTTCACCCATGTAAAGGTATCAGAAGTATACAAAAAAAGGGATAAAAACACTTTAGATGCATTCTAAGAAACACTAACCATAACAACTAACCTTCAGATTATATTGAAAATCTAAAGCTTGACAAAAGCAAAATATAAGTTATTTGGTTGTTGAATATTGAGGTCGTGAATAGCTATAATTACTAATGATATGGAGTAACAAGTTTAAACGTTTAGCTCTAAACGTCAAAATAATACTAACGCTAGGTAGTCTGCATCGTTATATCAACAAGCATTGATATTCATTTAATGCTTACTTTTCAGCTACTAAAGGTGTGTGGTGTTGACAATATATATATATATATATGAATTCAGGATAATAAGAATTCTTAATAAATAAGAACATACTTTATTAAGGGTACTTTGTGAATCGCATCCATCTTCAGTTTTAGTCATATCATTCAATGGTGAAACATCATTCAAATTATCCACAGATTTATTACGATATTTTGATGACATGTGACATGTATCTTCTACATTTAATGTCCAACAAGATTTCGACTGTTGTATTGAAGTAAGGGGTAATCTAGATGGACGTTGATCAGCTTCGTTGACGTCTTCATAAATTTTAAGACGTGCAGTTAAACTAGATATTTGATCACGACATTCATAAACTAAACGTGATAAACGACTAGCTTCAGATTTAATTTCATCTCTATTGGTACGCATAGCATGTATTTCTTGAATTAACATAGATTTCTCACTAATTTTATTGAACAAACAAAAAAGAAATAGATTATTTTAGCTCGGGATATTAATAAAAAATACCAAATAAATGTTTATAAGCAAGAGCATGTCCTCAGACATATTGTATAGTTTACCTTTATTACTATTACCCCGTGGAAATAAAGATGAAACTGTAGACTTGAAAGTTCAGATATTAATGAAGGCAACTTAAACGTAGATTTAAAAACGTCTACGCAATGATCGTGAACAGTGATGGACGACGAAAACAAAAGATAGGAAGAGCGATAGTAATTATTAATAATAGGCAACTTTTCCGACTTATCAAAGAAAAATGTGTTCAAATATCAGGTCTTCGTAACTGAGATATTAGGTACAGTTTGGGAATGGTATGTGACCCCAGACTGGCCTTAATTAGTTTATGAGAAGGAACTTATACCCTCTGGTTGCAACAACAGAGAAATCAGTTTGACTGATATTTTTTTTCTGAAATATTAGCTTCAACGATCTTCCAACGCCTAGCTAAGGTTAATGGACAACAAAATTCGGAAAATCAAGCTAGTTTTAAACCTTAATGTGGACGTATTGACCAAATATTCGCTCATAATCAGGTTCAGAAACATAAACAGTTCTTGACCTTACAGCACCACTCTATTCCATTAATCGACAGGTATTATGGTAGAATCTATCATCGAAACGAGCACAAAATGGGTGTGAAGACTCTACGCGCAGACACTAACAAGCCAGAGCCAATGGCTAGGTTGTCCAACTTCCCCATATTCATTTAACTTTGTCACGGATACTTTATTAAAATAACGCTTCATTCATCTAACTTTAAGGACTGGTCTCACTTCAGGAGATTTAATAACCGACTTAGTATACGGAGATTACATAGCTCCGCCCTTTGAATGTCTTTAGCAATAACTCAAACACTTCCGAATGAAAAAGGTTGCTTCATGACTGGTCAACAAAATCACCAAGATTGATGATAGGAAGTGACGTAGTTGGGGGTATCCACTACTTCACTTATCTTGGAATTTTCATTAAATCTGGTGTGTTGATACTGAAGAAATCTTCACACAGATTCCGAAGTCTTGCCTGACTTTGACGACTTACATCATCTATGGAGTAGGCGAGATGTCCATTTACCAACCAAAGAACGAGTATTTTATGCAACAGTTCACTGTTTTACTTTATATCTGTAAAACGTAATATTTAAAGGTAAATAAAACTTAAGGGTTACTAGTAATTGATCACAAGTGTCTTTGGGACATTGCTAGTATATGATGAAAATCACTAAGTGAGCAATGTTGAGGTAGGACACACGGCAGTATGGAAGGATAGTTCAGCAGTTGATAAGATTGTAAATCCCCAGGCACCAGTGTGATCGAGACATGCACTACGTCCCACCACTGCCTATCTCGACGCTTGATGTTGATTGGTGTTGGAATAAGTTGGGAGAACGTCAAGGATGGCCAAAATGAAGATTTGGCATTAGTCCATGAAATCATTGACTGTTGGATTTAGCCATGTTGGTGGGTCTAGACTGCTTGGTTAAGGTGTACGAGATTATCGTGGCATGGCTCGCAATCAATCACAACAGTGTAGATGTATTAACGCTCTATTTTCACTTAGATTCAGAGTTTTAAAATTACATGTTTTTATTTTACAAATTCATTCTTCATTCTCGCATTATATTGCTTAAACTTATCTTCCTTACTACTATTGATACTGTTGTTATTATTTCTACTGCTCTGATATTAGTTTTGATAATTCCAGCTACCTATGGTGATGCGGTGTAACACAACTTGGACTGTTGCTAACAAGCGCCAGGTTCTATGTCATTTATGACAGACTGGCTGAGATACGTTATTTATTCCACCAACCTAAACAACTACAAAATAATAAGAAGAAATTACCAGTATTTCTCATATCTGACTGTGGAAAAATGTGTTTACAGCTAATAATTTAACAATATTTCTGTAAATAAGCTAACAGAAATCTTACTCTCTCCGATTAAATCAAATCAAAAGTTGAACAACTTAGTAGCAAATGGAGTTTATCATGAGAGAAACCAATAACTTTAGTTCAAAACAAAACCCTAAATGGTCATCTTACATCCCTACAACATTATTACTACTACATAAAATTCACAGCAAACTTTATACAAAACCTATTCACTTACCCAGTCACTTCATCTAGTTTTTTTATTAGATCATCTTTTAAAATATTTAGCGCATTTCTGAAATAAAGAGAAATACTACGATATTACAAATAACGAGAAGATACGTAAGTAAATAAATGATTAATCACGTAATAAAACTGAGTCATAGAATATTATTTTTAATTAACGAACAGGTATAAACTAAATTGATGCAGTTGGGGTAACGCAGAAAGCAACTAGATTATTCAGAAGAACGCAGATTGAATAAACTGACAGTTTTAAAAATTACTAAGGAAAGAACAACGATCAAAACAAATTTGATCTTGTTTTATCCTTGAAAAGTTGACACTAATTGTAGTAAGGTCACATACACATACACCCACATAGTCATACAGAAAGATAAGTTATTTTATTTAAAGAATATAAGTATCGTGGTTTATTAGGGTACCCAAAAGATGCATCGCACAAATAAATTGATGACATTGTGAAAGAAAGAAGAGTTGCAATTTACATGACGAAAAAAAGGATAGTATTTGTTAAAAACAGTCCGCTTAAAGATACAACTAATAAATATTATTCACAGTTAAGGAAGTTCATTTCACTTTGATGAAGTATTAGACAGAAAACTGAAGAAGCATTACCACTAGCTTCGATTCTGAACCATATCTGATAACAGCTCAATCCACTGAGTTCAATCATTACAAATCCAACTGAGGAGTCGTTACTGATAGACAGACACCAATAACATACAGCTTCATTTCTTATCATGATAACATGTCATAAACTAACCATCTCTTTCACACAATATAATTCCTTGGAATGACATTCGTAGAACATGTCCAAGCCAATGAAGTTGGTGTTTAAAGACGGTGACAACGAATGAGTCACTGTAACCAAACGCCGAAAATACTTACATGCTCTCTTCTAAAATATCTCCAGTACATCATCGATCACAATTTCACGGACAAACTAAACCTTTTTTTCAAAACATTCAAGCATAATATCACTGCTCACGACTAAATACACTTTGGATAGCTTCAGTATCAATAGATAGTAAAAACGATATTATCTGTATACTCAAGATCAAAAAGTCCTCCAGCTGACAAATTCACATCACAAGATACTTCCTTTAGAGCTACCGATAGCAAAGTTGGAGAGGAATGAAATTAGTCAACCTAAAGAAACCCCACTGTTGGGTTGAAACAAAGAGAAGTGATTCTATGCCTTTGTCTGAGGTGATTGCGTATAGATCCTCCAAGGTATTGATAAAAATTTCTGTCACACAGTTGCTCATCAGGCAATCCCAGAGCATAGTCCTATTTACAGTACAGAAGACAGTCCTGATACCAAGTAACACAACGATTGATAGCTTGAAATAAGCGTAGCAGAGCTCCAACAATTTGCGGAGAATGGTCCCAAGACAAATACGTTCACAATATGAACAAAGATAAGTCTGTTCCTCGTGAGTTATTTTTTAACGAGTTCTTTACAACCACCAGAGTATAAAGAGGGATAATAATATTTTTTTTAAACAGAAAGCAGACAAATACCTCGATAATTGTTGAATACATCATATAGTCCCTTTTTAAAGGCGAAAACAACGATTGCTTTATTCTAAACAAACCAGCACATTTCCTGACTAGAAGTTCGCTTTCATTCTTGAAAAAAATGGTGGGAATAGGTCATCTGAGCATGACGACTCCTGATGTCTCAGGGGTTGGAATGGCTTACGAAACGCTGCTTCGTTAGACGGATCGGCAGTCAATTGCCAAGAAGTATGTGATTGTTTCTCTGACGTTAATGAAGTAACAAACCAGATCACCAGTTCGGGGAAGTGCTTCGTTCAACGTTTGACGCTCACTTGAAAGTAACTAGCTGGAATGCCATCAACTCCCCAGACTATTTTACCAATATCAAACGTCTTTCTGAAAGTAACCCGAAAGAGTTGAAACAACTTCCGTTGGTTGCATACAACATACAGTCGCTGCCTTCAAGTCGTTACCACACTGCGACCATTAAATGTTTCTACTCTTACGCGAGGTTTGTGAAATTTTCCACAACAATAATCTACGCGTACACTTGAATTTGTGATTTGCTGGAGTAGACCATGTAGTGCTAATAAGTAGAAGGTAGCCTGGGAAAACCCGATGCTCGTAAGCAAGACGTTTTCCGAAGCCACCAAAGACTTTGCTCGTAATTTTTATTACGTCATGAAAATGCAGTCAGTGGTCACTTAAGCTTTTCAGTGAGCTAGTCTTGAGAGCCTAGATCAATTTGATATTTTCTTGAAACGGGTGTATCTAATCCGTCTATATTAATCTGTTTGGGACGATAAATTTTCGCACAAGCAAGAGATAAAGTAAGTTTAGAGGACATCGGGGCGTGATTAAAATTCAGACAGGTACTCCAAAACGAACGGTAGTCTTAGACACAGCCACAACGTCAGTAGCTAAACCAATTGTAACTTAGTGAATTTTAGGCTTGAAATGCAAAGAGCAGATTCCAAAAAGGTGACTAAGTTGAGAGTTACTATTAGCTAGAAACAGTTTGAGATCACTACAAAGGTGCAAAAGGTGTTCAAAGCTATCTTACTCATGACCACTAAGTTCTATTGACCACCCAAACGACTATCCTCTGTTCCTAGACTTCAGATAGCATCATAATATTTGCTGAATGCCCATTAACTTGACGATTTGACACATTTTTTATTAGATCTGGGCTGCAATTTGTGGAGCTGCAGGTAAAAAATACGAAGACACACCAGTTCTTACAACTTTTTAACCTAACAGTGCATAAACTACTTTTAACGAAGACTCAATAAATTAGCGTTACCTATGTTTTGGCACATAGCGTAACACAAACGCCAGGAAAGTCCAACACCAATGGCACATAATCTCCAGCTTCAGATCCGTGGAGCAAACTTTCTAAACCAGTCAGTTTAGAGGAATATGCAATGTTTTACTTGAATCTTGGTTACGGATCTCAGATATGCAGCATATAAAAATAACAAGACTTTACAAAGACACATTTAAACTTATGTTGTTCAGCAGGTATCAAAGTAAAGACGGAAGGGGAAAAGTGTAAATCGTATACTTAGCTACAGAAAAACTGTATCATATTTTGTATTTGATGGCATTATTTAAAAAGTCGAACATTCAGAGACCTGAGACTGTTTGAGTAAGACAGCACTTTCAAAAGAGATGAAATGCTGAATGGATTAGAAATTGAAGTTCTCTCAAGAAACGATACAGGAAATATGAAGATAAAACAAAGACGATGAAGTGAAACAAAATAAATTCAATGGAAAATACAAGAGGTTTGTTTACTTGTTAATATACATCAGAATCACCATATACGTACTCTTTACAATACACAAGATATTTTAAACAAACTAGATTTAATTTAACTCGTCTATGAAGCCACTGTATAAGGCCTAGTGATACTACCAGGTTTCTTAAACAGAAGTAGACAATGAGGGGTTGAAAATTATAATCTAGTTGAATAAAACTAGGAACGCTTTAACTGATAAGCGACTATAGACCTAAAAGAAACTCAATTAACTAAAACGTATGGTTCAAAATTAAGGATATAGTACGAAAGATAGATCTATCATCAGGCCTCTCTTATTCTCATAATAATTTTTTTCATCACAAAAGCGTCTGATTTTACAAAAGAAAAAACTTAACAACTGAATAAACACATATTATTATTGGGTTGATCAAACGAACCACTTGTATCGTAATGAGAGGTATCGATAATTAACTACGTAAAATTGTATTAACCGGTTAATAGAAAAATGAATTGTTAATGTTAAATAAAACAACTGCCACGACTTCTCACTAAACATCAAAAACTTATTTTCCTACTTATTAACACGAGTTAGAAATGTATTCTTTGTTATAACTAAACTACTATCCAATGCTTAATGTATTTAAAATTATCAATTTACAATTTTGTATTGATAAAACGAACTTGTACATTTTACATTGCCTTATAGTTTACTGAATAACAAAGTAGAAAGAAGTTAGTTATTTCGATAGATACAATATTATCGATCACTAAATTTTATTTCATATAAGTTTATACTTAACATGAAAAATAATAATCAAATTCAATGATAACTAACTTTGTTTCATACAAATCAGTATTTTCTTTAATTAATTTCTCAACTTCTTTTACCATACCTTAATATTTTTTAGAAGGAAACAAAATAAAGAAAGAAAGAAAGGAGTAAGACATCAAAAACTGAACTTTTCAAAATCAATAAGACTAACAAAATAATTAAAAAAAACTCTGAGAACCAGGTAAACAAGAAAATTCAGTAAAAATACAATTCCCAAAGAGGTTTCTATATATTATCTGTGTGCGCGCCGAAATAAAAAAGGAATGTAACAGAAAAATGAGGAAACAGCTTAGTTATCATTTTGACCATTTACACCAATAAAATGCATAAACTAATGAGTAACAACAGTAAAACACACATAGTTACTTATATGATTATTCAACATGACTAAAAAATCTAGAAACAAAAAATTGGCATAACTCAAAATATATCTGAATATTTCTTTATCCCTAAAATCTAGGTAAATTTGTAAATAACGCATTCATAGACAGTTATTTAGTTGAATGGTTGAGAGGTAGTCGGTAGGAAATCCTGAACTTAGGTCCCCTGCCAGTTGACACTCATCAACAAGGCGTACATGAAATCTTGAGAGATCCGATGCTACCTGCGGGATTAGAAACTACACCAACCAGCTTCATAGTTTGAGACGTTACCGTTGAGATACTCAGGTCTTATCTGACCTCCTATAGAATTTCAGCCAGAATACGTCTCAGATTGTGAAGCTGAATGACTCCAATTAAAATCTCATAGGTACACCTCGTTAATGGGTGAAGACAGACATCATAGATATAGAGCCTGGAACAGATATGCGTTGGCCGAAGTTACCATACCTGATTAGCACGACGAAATTAAAATAAAAAAGCGATCAAAGGAATGCTGTGGCTAGCGAGAGTCAACGAATACAAGGTTCAAGGTCTCCTGTTGACTACCTCCACTTCACATCAAAACATAGTGTGCGTGATGTCAAATTACAAATTGGTCGATGGAATTTGATCAGGACTAAACAATAGACGAACATGATACAGGACATTATTCAGTAATCGATTGACTGTAAATGATTCGTTTTACCTACTATAAGGGTAATGAAAAAACTGCAATCAGCTTGCCTAAGCATAATTACCATTGGTGTATATGAAAGGAAGTTAAATGTCCTACGACTTTTTCCTCATTTAACCATTACTTTGATAAATTATCCTAACTTAATTTTGAATGAGGGATTATTTCTATGAGCATACTATTACCTCGTCCTTGTTAACTATTATAGTAATCGTATCAGTGAATTAAGCCATCGCGATGAATATATATTCATATAATGATAATACGAATACCAAATAAGAAAAATTGATTTTATTTACCAGAAAAAGAGAATAACACATTGTGAATTATCGAAGATTTTTTTCAAACACTATTTTTAGTTTGTGAGAATCAAGCTACTTACAACAAAAATGGAAGCTCAAACAGATCAATCACATAAAACTTTAAAAAAAACAACTAAGGATACAGAAAAGATAAAAAACAAAATTCGATTATGTAAAGAATAAATATATAAATGCAGGTGTAGAAATTAACCCTGAAAATTATTATTAATGTATGAAGAATATTATCACTTTTGTATTACATTGGGGTATTGTGTTCATTCTGGACTCGGCTACATGTAAAAGTATTTACAGAAATACTACTGAGGAATTTTAAACAACCATGGACAGTGGGTTAGTGCTTTCTGATTTTCAATAGTTCTTCAAGTGATGTTAAATTGTGATTAGAATTATCTTTAAGATTAGCTGAACTACTTGGCAGATGAAATAAATTGTGGTTATCAGTAAATATATGACAGCATGAGGAATTTGAGTATTCAACCAATAATGAATTTAATACAAGTGTGTATTACCTCAAGATGATGCACTTCACAAGCAATAAGTCAAATTAAAACTAACAAAAAAGCACACTTTTAAAAGTGATATCAATAATAAGGAGCTATTTTGAAGGAACCAAAAAGAAAACTAATAATGAGAAAAGAAAAACAGGTAAATAAGGAAATAAACACAACATTAGAAAGCATGTTACACTATTAATGTGAAGCCTAGTGGTACTGTTCCGATAACCGATAACAGATTGGGCAAGTATGAACCCTATGAATAAACCAACAAGCCACAATAAAAAGTCTAATATCGGCTGGTCAATAAAAACTAACAAGACCAACGTATTTTTTACCTGTCTCTGAAAATAATGATAATAATAATATCATTATCTCTAATAGTTGTAATTGTTATCTTAAAAGGAGACTGTATAACTACGTAATATATCGAAATAGGTTCACCTGTTGAACTATGGGTTGAAATATGTATTCTTAAGCTAAGCATTTAAATTTACAGTCTCTATTCAAAATTCTGTACTCAGACACTCGAATCAACACGAAGCTGAAATTTAAGTACAAGTTCGATAAAGCATTCAATGGTCTCCTCGTTTAATATTTGGTGGTGACAATCAATTCCGATAACTTTTCCCAGAGCACAGTTGTTAGATGACGAATATTCGGTTTGTAAAACCTAGTTCTCTTTTTATCTAACAGCACATTCCCATAACCAAGTATTTTGTTATGATTACTATATTTATACGTTTGATATTTTGGTTAAACTTGTTCAAACTATGGTCGGATAAAAGTGAGAATTTATTTGTCTCGGATTCACGTTGAGCTCTGAGTGTGAACACCATACCAATATCCTAGATGAAAAGTTCATTCATTATTTATTCTACGATTCGATTGTATACTAGAAAATGGATGTGAACGAAGGTTAATTATACAGATGAAAACTTTGTATTTCTATAAAGTATGAAAATAGTTAGTCTTAAATGTTCAAGTTTAATGTTAACGGTAGGTATATTTTGGTAGTTTTAGTACGGCAGAACTTGCTGGAATCGAGTTATCTCATAGGTAGACATTGTAATCTTGTTCTGCATATTCAACAGTGCTTTATTTAGGAAAAATTTCAAAATCCTACTTGTGAGTTTTTATAAAAGATTCTATTTTTTTTTTAAAAATTGAGTTGGAAAATTAAAAGCTTTTCTGAGTAAGAAAGTTTCAAAAATAAGGGGCTACTGTATGTAACCAGATTCCAAAAAAATATAAACAAAATCTGTTTTAGTGTAAAAATACGATTATGAACCTAACTCTTGCTCGGATTGCTAGCTTTATAAAAAGATTGTAGGCTTAACCAAAGACATTATCACCACAAAAATTATAGTCTTAGTTTGAACCACAACACACACTAACAATATATGAATTGATATACCATGGGGACGGTGACTTCAACAAATCACCCAGCTTTCAACTAGTAGGTTGAAGCTACAAGCCATGTTTCACCTACTTGTGTTTTGGTATCCAGGAGATATCATTAGTCCTCACACAAAGTGTATCTTTGAGTTAAATATATCAAACCTCTACTCAATAAATAACGTTTATGATTTTTTAAAATATACCTTCACATGAAAAGGAAAATCGGGAATAAAACAGAAACTAAGTACAAAATAACCATACTGACGATTCCCTTGCTCTATATCTGTGGTTTTATGGCCAATTATCTGACTCTAATTTGTTCTTATGCTGACTGCTATCGAAATATACATGTGGCCAATCCTCGTACATAATCATCGACTTAACATGGGTTAGTGAATAACGGAATTAAATAACTCTAATACGAGAATGAAGCTTTGAATACGTATATTTTGTACAACCGTTGATCAGAACAGACAGTCAGAAAGACGGTGCGAAAGAAGCGAAACGGACTGGAGAAGGCATGTTGGCCAACTCAATTTAACCAAGCGTGAATCAATATTTATAGTCAGACAAAAATAAGTTACAGGAAATGTGTTAAGTAAGATAAGAAATGCACACACACACACATGTTGACATAAAAACAGTCAATATTGATAAGCGAATTGTTAACAAGGTCAAAACATGACTCAAGAAGAATGAATAAATTGGTTTGTCCGAAAGCTAGAATGAGTTATGTGGGCTTGACATAGCACCCGACACTACAGTAGTACATTTTCAACGCAAATCAGTGTTTGAATGTGCTGTCTTTTGACGAGTTTCCTTAACTGTCTGAAATATTTAGAACACCGTCATTCATGTCCACGAAGAACGATGTGATTCTACAACGAGAATTTTTATACATTTTCAGTCTTTAAGTGATACAACTGTAGTTATATTCAATTTTATACTGCCCTCTTGCAATCCATATTGTTTGCAGTAATTTATCGGGAAGAAAAATCAAGCAACAAAATATAAGGAAATGATATTCTTATTGAGATAAAACCGCAAAGAATAATCTAAAATGATATAGATAGTGCACAATAACTAGTAAACTGAAAAAAAAAGACGGACAGTGGTACAAGAAAAAGAAATCAGTTTTAAAGTTTAACAGTAGGAGTACAAGAATCTATTTGAAGTGAGAAGTTAATAAAGTTTTGTGATTTGTAAAACTGACGGTTGGGAAAGGAGTAGTAGTAGCACTAGTAGTAATGAGGGCTAGGTAGGTTTTTTTTGTACACATGTTTTATAATGTGATATATGTATAACTAGCTTTAGGGATACAAAGAAAGCGCTTTATCTTCAATAGATCTCTTTTCACTTTGGAAACGAACTAAAAAGATAAGTCTATTGTAATCAAATGGTCAGCTAGGAAAAATACTTAACTATCACACTTCGAATTAGCATTATATACTACATTGAATGTGTCAATTTCCTAATACATATTCGCTCATCTTTAATATTAACTAACAATCGCACGCATATTTTTGTGTACGAGTATGTCGAAAAGGCAAACTAAACAAAAAAGGATTGATGCAAAAAATTGTGAATCAGTTATATTTTTTACAACTTTAACACCAAAAAGAGTTGCTTTTTTAAAAACACGAGTTCACCGAGAGAAAAAATATTTAGTCATCAAACAATGGGTGACAGAAAAACCATTGAATGTATAGTTACGTAAATGGAAACGAAATATTTTAAGTCCCAATGACAACTGGACTAGTGAAAAATATGTATAATGTGAATGTTAAGCTTAGATTATGAGTGCACCGATAATATTGGTGATTAATACAAGCAGGTGTATGGTAATAAATAACGTCAATGTTTACCCACCTACAGAAGGTTCACAAACATCAAGAGATTCTGAAACCGGAGGAAATCAACATACAATATGAATACTGTTATTGATTGAAAATATTTATCTTAAATAATTGAATAATAAGAAACTATTTACATATCATATTTTTTAAGTGAAATTCAATATATAAGTACACAAGTTCGTATACTCAGCTTTGATCAGTTTCCTCATCGTTTCTGTGTCCTAGTTTTGAATAGCAATTATGTTGTAAGATATGCATATGTAATAATCCGTATTACTTAGAGATTCGAATTCTGATTTAAATATTCTTTAAATCTAAATTATTACTGAAAATAATAATCAGTTTTGTTGGCCAGACTTCAGATGTCTACGACGAAATTGGAAAGCAGTACCATAATAAAACAATATTTGATGTCACTTATCACTAGATTCTTCATTTTGTTCAGATAATAAATTTTTAAACCAATTACATCTAGTTTCTTTAAAGAGGTGCTTGAACAATCACACGTAGACAATGTTCTGATTTCTAAGTAGCTCAATATATCATTGTTACTAGTCAATTTGTTGTAAACGTTCCATATAGTAGTTAAACGCTAATAGAATACATAAATGAAACACAAAGTACATTTTCCATCCAGTTTTTCATAAATAAAAATATTTATTGAAATCTAATCTCTTGTAATTTGAACTTTCAATTAAACCAGAAATGCATATATCGGCAGAATTAAGAGAAAATAGCATTTATACATCGACTACAAAATTTGACAATTAACTGATTAAACAGTTAGTATTGATTAAACCTGCAGAACTGGATAAGATGGGACGCTAAAAAATCAAACTGGTAGTACTCATCGAAAAACAACATACCGATTTCTTCAACATCATCACCAGTACCCATAACAGGAGTTGATTCTAAAGCTGCTTCATAATCTACGCTACAACAGAAAAAAAGATAAGTTGAATGATTATAATCAAATATTTATTTTAAACAAATATTCATTTAAGTTAGAAGAGTTTTGTCTGAATTTATTGTGTCCAGTTTATTATGTGCTGATAGACGTTAAGTGATTTACTTTCAAAAGGGATTTTAACTATAATGGCTAAACGCGGATTTCGAAAATGTAATATCATCAAACAGTAAAAACAATTTATTTAGTAAAACTCTGACAAGACTTGAAAATACGTGGTTATAATAAGTGTGTACGATTTCAATAAAATTGATAATTACTGAAAAGGCTCTAAAACCCTCCACCTTCTAATTGTATAACTTGAACTCTTGCGTTTGTGTGCCAAAGGTCCAACTTCCAAGACTATGCATAAATAAATTAGTTATGCAATAACAATCAATATCATATTTTAGAAAAGCGGTGATTTAATGGTTGAGTCAGTCGGCATTTAGCCAGTAGCTTGTAATATCAAACTTCATTCCACCTACTTCTGTTTGGATAGCTGATTTGTATAATTGACCTCAAAAACAGAGCAGCTTAAAGCTGGTTATATAAACATGTGCTTGTTAGATAAATACTCTAGTTCTTAACAGACATTGAAGTAGATACACCATCAGCACGTAATCGTGTTTTAAATAAATCCATAATAAGAAAGTTTATAATCAATGAACAACTTTGGAGTAAAAAACTTACATATCATCATAAATGTCAATAAAAGAAGCAGTACGATTATTTGACTTTAGAGAACTATCAAGAGAGTGCAAGACGTTCACACCAGGTCCCGATTCTAAAGGATAAGAATAAAACAAGAATACATAAGTGAATAAAGCTTATCAAACCTTATAATAAAATACAATGTGTAAATGAGTTTCTAATTAAATAGATTAATTTGATACAGTCAATTTTACAATTGAACTCATATTATTAATCAACGACTTAACCGAGTTATCCCTTTTAAATGACCTCGCACAATAATAACTATTTATTCATATAGAAGTGTGATGAAATTAAATATGTAGTTAAAATGTCATGAATCAACAGTAATGACAAATTTTTGTTGAAATCATGAATCGACCAATGTTAGACCACCACTGAAAATCTGGAAGCACTGGACGGCCGTTTCGTCCCAGTAAGGGACTCCTTAGCGGTGAGCATCCACGATCCCGCAGGCGGGATGTGGTAGCTACAAAGAAGTTTCTTCGGTGATACAAACCACGTCCCAAGAAAGTTTCTTCTTTTAAAGTCACCAAAGCTAGAAAAACGTTTATTCTCTGAACTTTTGTGTAATTTTAGATTAAAAATAACAAGTTATCAACCGGTTATGCTGATTAGTACGGATCACAAGGGCTACCCACCTGAAAGATGAAAATTAGAGGGTGTAATTACTCTATAAAAGTATTAGAAAAATTGAAACTATAAGTATCGTATTCATCTTTCCAAATTTATTTCACTGTACTATACTCCTTCAATAATTTCTTCAGACCCTAATCTTTTGGATTTCTGATTATACTCCTGCTACTTCTACCACTATGGGATTTGAATCGACAACTGCATCTGTGTGCTAATGTGGTATGGCAACTCGAACTGATGTACGTACGTACGAAGTTCTACGTTGTGACTGACTGACTGACTGACATCTTGGTAAATATTTTACACAGATTGATTTGAATTATTTGAGAGGTAATAATGAATGTAACAATAAATATGTTTTCAACTTAAAAACCATATGCGCGTTCACGATATAAGTTTACCAATATCTGAACAAATCTACTGTTTGATGAAATCCCTAATAAGTTATGCCCCCGATTGCCCTGGTACGGCCGAAAGTGGGGAGGGCCCGTCCTCCCTCTCGAAATGCTACCACATGATTACGCGTATACAGCCACTGACACAGAAGTCCTACCCACTGCCTTCTCGTGGCGGGGGTATTGTCTACGAAATTGAGAGAACGAAAAGCGAATGTCCGGCGCCTCAACCGGGTTAATGGACACGGAGAGTCTATCTAGGGAAGTTGGAAAACCTTGATCCCAAACCAATGGTGTACATGGGCTCTAGTATCCTGAGGGAATAAATGGCGTGTGAAACAATTGTTGGTCACCGGCTACCATGGGACTACATCTCCTGACGTTGCTTCATTGCCTTATGGATTAGACCTTTAGGTCAAATGCTCCGAGTGTGGCCCCCTAAGGAAACCACTTGCTTCGTTTTCGGCACTCGGGCAGTATCATAGCCCTCACACAATTAAAATGAAATGACCATTTTTTGTGTGGCGCATATATATCTGGTGCCTCCGTGTACCAATATTTCTGTGTTCAAATAAATAAATAAAATATGTTATAAAATAAATTGTCTTCATTTTTTCATTATGAAAGATAAGTAGTCCATATTTTTTTGTTTGAAAAGCAATAGGATATTATCTAGCCGATGAAGCAATTAATTAATTTGATAAAACTAACTTTACCACAGCAATTATTGAAAAAGTCACACTATAAATGAACTACAATTTAAAATAACTTGAAAAGTAGGATAAAACAAAACTATTTAAAAGTTATTAACTTCCATTTACTTACGTGTTAAGTCAATTCTAACGGCTGAAATGTCATGGTTTTCAGAATTTGAGTTTAAAATGCAACCCGATTCAACTGAAATTTGATTGGGATTATCATTTATGGAGTTTGAATTCTATGAATATAAAACAGGAAATGAAACTTTTTGAAATGTATTTCAGGATGGAACAAATATTACGGCCCTATAGATGAATCTTCATAAGCATAAAAGACTGAAAAATTAATGTTAACATTTAACTATAATTGGTATATAAAGAATTCGGGTGTCATGGCTAAATATTGACTGAAGTGATGCAGAGGAATCATTGTAACCATATTCAGCATCTAAAATACTAACGTCTATCATCACCCGATGCTTAACAAGAGCTTGGGAACAGGAAATCTAAGAAAATTATGTAGATTTTAAACCTGAACGTAAATGTATTGATCAAATATTTTTTCCAACAGGCTTTAGAACACACCCATACCAGTATAGAAGTAAGAGTAAAGTGAAAAGATGCTAGAGGAAACTAAACTAAAAAGTGGCATTTGTCAGTGAAGTCAGTAATTGTGGGTTTGAGTTACGCTGTTAGATGTAGACTAGCGGTCTGAGGCTCCCGAAACAATTGCGATCAAATGTTAGAGACATTAGGTGATATGGCTGAGAATCGGTGGTAACAGAGTAGGTGTATTCACTCTTTATCTTTCCATAGATCTTGAATTTTAGTATTATCTTGTATATACCTTTTCGTTAGGTCTTCACGAACATTATTCTCAACGCTAAGTCTGTTTCACTATCATTGCCACTACAATATTTCGATTCCTTCGCTATTCATCTTGTTAATTTTATTACGTTGCACTAATATGATAAGGCAACTTAAGCCAATTTACATTTTTGACAGACTAAGTTGATTATGACTGATGGGTTGATGAAATAACATTATTTTACAATTTTTATTTATCGAATTTCGCTCGTTTTTTCTGATTATCTTTGTTTACTATTTGCCAAACTATTTTATCGTTATGCTGATGTAAAATGTCTCCACTTAGACTGATACACTTTACTAATAAGTCCTAACATTTTTCATGTCTGTTGATATTAAATTAAATATTACACAGATTAATGCTGCAGTTAGTTTTCAAAATGTTAGGAAAATATGTAAATCATCCTAACTTTATACCTAATTATAACATTGTAACAAATTGGCCGACTATTTACTGTAATAACAACGGAAAAATAGTGAACCAAAAACTATGTGTTATTAAAAATAATTCATCAAATAAAATGTTGATATAATTTCTGTTAGAGTTTGTACTTTTCGTTCCTGATTTAAATAGATACAAGTGATAAATTTTTTTTAGCATGTGTACATTCCTTAGCGGATTACCACGATAGTACCATTTAGTCACAAGTTTTTAGTAATGATGAATAATTGCTAGTAGAGTAGTTCGGGATGCAAGTGTTTTCATGGTCGAGACTTGCTAGATGGAAGTAGCTGAAGTTAATAACACGGCGTTTGAAGATAAAGATCTTGGGTGCGGCTTTTAATATGAGCATTAAAACTAGAAAGCAGGTACATTCAACTGACGAGTCATAAATAGGAGGAAACGAGTGTTCTGGATTCGATAAAAATTTGTTTATGGTGTCCAAAAAACACTTGAATATATAGTAGTAGGACTCGGGTATTGTAACAAACTGTGATTCCACATTATATTTCTTTCGTTGCATATATAATACGGAGTGAACCAGATTTTATAAATTGGGTTACGCTTCGCACATTAATTGGATATTATTTATATACATATATTTGAGACAGAGAATTCACGACATGAAATATAACAATATATGCCAAAAATACGTACAGCAGTCGATTTTAATACTGGCTCATTTGGTTTAGTATCTTTTTCACAACTAACGCATACAGTTCCCGATTCATCATCGTTGTTTGACACAGATAAATTGTTTGTTTCTATATAATCCACATAAATCTTAAGTAATTTAGTGTATCTTTCATTTTGTGCAGATAATTCTGATCTAAGGTCTTGTTCCCTTTCTTCTAATCTAAAAACTAAAAGAGCAAATAATAAGTAGGCATAAATCATATAATTAATTGACCTAAGAAGTGAGAAATTAACATTCACCAAGAATATAAAAGAATAAATTCTACCATTAAAAGAAATCCACTTTACAAATTATTCATCACTAACAACAAATGAATCTAAATCATGCTTTTTTCAGGTTAACATCAATTACGAAAGCTTGAACAACGGATTAAATAACTATTATATAAATGTATGAGATTTTTACAGTACAGCATTCATAGATTTATAATTTTAAAAAATAACAAGTACTTAAATGAAAATAACAAATGAATAGAACCGACTTCTAGTCATTATGAATTTATCTGTGAACACGAGAAAAGTTTTTACAACGACTGACAGAATATAAACACGTTAAGTATTCAACCAATATGAAACAATAAGAAAAACAGTCAATCTACTAAATCTCTCCATAACTTTACACTAAAAATACATGAAAAAATAGGAATATTAAAATCATTACTTTATGTAGCCAAAATTATTGACTAGCATAATGATGTAACATGTAGCGCGCAAACTAGAACACAAATATTTAGATAAAACAAAGAAAACCTCACCAACTCCCATTAGTGTACGATCCGAAAATATATGAATTTACGTCAAACAGATAATTTCCTCATCGCTTTTCATCTTGTAAGTTTCCTTTTTGTTAGACTGATGTGATGTGTAGCAACTTGGATCAGTCCACACGAGTACTAAATCCTACATTGATAACCGCCTGACCAGTAAAATGAGACAGCGATTCTAATATATGTCAATATTATCAAAAATCAAGGACGCTATTGAGAAAAAATTATCTAATTTTAAAATAATAAGTAGCCTCAGTTTAGCTGGTTGTGAGAATACCCTACAAAGAAGATACGTTAATGAGTAAATGATATGTTTTCAAAAAACTCCACATTTGATTATCACTGACAAAAATAAACACAAGAACCTGACATAAATATTTACTGACTTGAATCGTCACGTGACGAAATGCCACTGAAAATCTACCGCATACTAAATTTACATTGCTACGATACCCTCCACACAATATCAAGTGAGAGAAATGTCAACAGAGGCTAATATAAAGATTTAAAGCTAATAATGTAAATTGGGCGTCCGGACAGTATTCCAGAGCTCACATATATCCAATGATTTGTGTGGTGCACATGTATTTGGTACCTTCTTGTACCAAAGTTTGTGTTTAAATAAATAATTAAATAAATCAAGATTCACTTCTGAATACCGAGCCATAAACCGAACTAGTTGTGTGAAGGTTAGTGGTCGGTTTCCGAGCAAGTTACAATTCAAATGTGACCCACCGGTTGAAAGTCAGGAATCTCAACTGGTGCGTTATATCACATAAACATCTAACAACAAATTACATTAAATTATTTGAGAGAACTAATTGATGCAACGGAAAAATGCACCAATAGTACTTAAATAATTTATACCATACTAATGTACTACTTAGTTTCACAAAAGGTATCCCAACCGTTGCTACTACCTTGACGTGATGGTCGGGCTTGCCTGTCGTAATGAACCAACCGAGCTATACTAGCTGGAACAATGGTTCCTCAAGGTCCTACCATGCCAGGCAGGTCGGTTGAAGAGCGGTAAGACTAAAATTAGTAAATCCAAGGTCCGGGGACGATGTTATACTGCTCTCTGTACATACGTGTGACGGCAGTAAGGTGTTTCCTTCAGACAGAAAGCAAAGCAGCAATGATGCCTTTGTTGTGATTTTAATCCCGACTTTTTATCACATGATTTATTCAACAATCGAAATAAGACTTAACCAATCTTAGCACAATGCCAAACCAATGACGTTCGACTGGTATGAGCAGCATAGCGTCCTTATTGGTCCTTTGTCCACCTAGCCCGTTTAGTTGAGTCCAGAAAACCAATTACAGCTTCTGATCTGCGATTGATTTATTTCAAACATACTGGGTTTATAAATATACCAGACAGAACGCATCACACCATAAAATAGAAAATAACATTTGTACGAGATCAACGAAAATGTGGTTGTGAATGTGGGAGACACTAATCAATAAACTGAGCATAATTTAGGAACACTAAATCGTATAATATTAATCTATAGGTCAAAATGAAGCCTATGATAAGACGAATATAGATATACATAATCTAATAACTGAACAGATATAAAATAGGAATATATATATATATATATATATATATATAAGAAGGGGTCAAAATCATCCTGCGATAACCATAGAGGGATTAGTTTGACTAATACAACATCTAAAATACTAGCCTCAATTATCATCGGATGCCTAGCATGGACTCATGAACTGGAAACACGAGAAAATCAGGATGGCTTCAGACTTGATCATGGCCGCATTGACCACATATTCACTATTCGTCAGATCGTACAAGAAAAGCATGCTTACCAGTGACCGACAATGATAGTTTTTCTTGACTTGAAAGCAGCATTTGACTCTGTAGACCGAGAGGTTCTGTGGCAGTGTCTGTCATTGAAAGGTGTACCTGAGAAGTACATAAACCTTGTGAAGGCTCTTTAATCGAATACTACTGGTAGATTTAGAGCTTATGGTGAACTGTCATCTGGTTTCGCAACCTCAAGTGGTGTCCGGTAAGGCTTTCCATTATCTATTTTTGTTCAACTTCCTCATAGACCTACTGCTGGAAATTACGTTCTCGTCGACCGACTTTTCAAGAATTGATCTCCTAGTAGGAGGTTTACTTATTAACTTAGAATACGCAGATGACATAGTCCTGTTTGGTGAAGACGCTGAAAAAATTCAGAGTCTTTTGATAGCACTGAGTAACAATACCAGGATGTTAGGAATGAGTTTCTCCCCCTCTAAATGTAAATTGTTGCTCAGGGACTGGCCTGCGTCAACATCTGAAATAAGGGTAGGAAGTGAAGTGGTCGAACGCGTCGACAACTTCCCTTATCTTGGAAGTCTGATCAGCTCTAATGAGTTGGCGTCTGACGAAATCTCTGCACGGATTCAATAAGATCGTTCGGTTTTTATCAACCTATGGTGAAGACGAGATATCCGTCTATCAATTAAGGGACCAGTATTTATTTATTTATTTAAACACATAAATATTAGTACAAGGAAGCACCAGATAAATATGCGCCTCACAAATCTCATTTGATTTGTGTGAGGGCTGTGATACTGCCCGAGTGCCGAAACCGAAGCAAGTTGTTTCCTTAGGGGGCCACACTCAGAACATTTGACCTAAAGGTCTAATCCATAAGGCAATGAAGCAACGTCAGGAGATGTAGTCCCATGGTAGCCGGTGACCAACAATTGTTTCACACGCCATTTATTCCCTCAGGATACTAGAGCCCATGTACACCATTGGTTTGGGATCAAGGTTTTCCAACTTCCCTAGATAGACTCTCCGTGTCCACTAACCCGGTTGAGGCGCCGGACATTCGCTTTTTGTTCTCTCAATTTCGTAGACAATACACCCGCCACGAGAAGGCAGTAGGTAGGACTTCCCTGGCAGAGGCTATATATTCGCGTGGCCATGTGATAGCATTTCGAGAGGAAGGGCGGACTATCCTCAATCTCTGCCGTACCGGGGCATTTGGAGGCAGGGACCAGTATACTGCGTAGCACTTTGTTCTGTTTTCCTTTATAGTTGCGAAACATGGCCATTAAGAGTAGAAGATACTCGTAGGTTACTAGTATTTGACCACAGATGTCTTAGAAATATTGCTCGCATCTGCTGGTGTCACCGGGTAGGTAATAGTGAGATTAGACACAGGGTATTAGGAAACGATGGTAAATCAGTTGATAAGGTGATGAATCTTCATCGACTGAGATGGTTGGGCCATGTGTCATGTATGCCTGAACACCGATTACCACGACGCGCTATGATGACTAGTGTTGGAGATGGTCGGAAGAGAGTTAGGGGGGCCAAACCAAAACGTGGCATCAGTGCTTGAAGTCCCCAACTTTCTGGTCTGAGCTATGTTGGTAGATGCAAACTACCTGGTTGGGGTCCATGTGACTATCGTAGCCAATGGTTGTAGACTCCGTGTGACATGGTTCAAAATCAATCATAATGGCTCAGGTGTATACACTCTTTGTCTTCCCTTAAACCATGAGATTAAAATTGCTCTATACTCTTCTTTCTACGAACTAATTCTTTCCTGTATTATATCCTTATACGCAATCTTTCTTGTATATATTACTACCATTGAAGTAACTACGTCCATGACTTTGGTGTTCATCTTGTTGTGCTAATGAGGTGTAGCAACTTGGACCGGTACATATATGTGCCTGATCCTACGTTGTAGCTGACTGACTGACAAAAGATAACTTCAAGAGATTTTCAATATTCATTTAATTATTACAGATAGATCGACACTGCCAGGAGAAAACTACTACACCCTACTGTCCAATGAGTACATCCCGACCGTTGCTGCTACCTTGACGTGGTGGTCGGGCTTGCCTTTCGTGATGAACCAATCGAGCTATACTGGCTGGAACAATCGTTCCTCAAGGTCCCACCATGCCAGACAAGTCGGTTGAAGAGCGGTAAGACCAAAAGCAACAAACCCAAGGTCCGAAGGTGAAGTCGTACTGCTGACTGTACAGAGGCGTGACGGCAGTAAGGTGTTTCCTTCAGACAACCAGCATGACAGCGATGCTGCCTTCCCACTAGGAGGGGTGGGGTTAGAAAAGGTCGACCCTAAAAATGCACACCTCGCCTTATCCCTCGGATTTCCGTCTCCGGTGGTAAGGTCCTTTAAAGAACGGAGCTAACACAAAAACTACCCACAAAAAGGTCGTGTGTGACCGACCTCAAGCAGTTGTCCCTTGGGCACTGCGGTCACGCTCTCAGGTCATTAAGACCACTTCTAACCCAATTTCCTTTTCAAGTACCCCTAGAAGAACCCTTCCACGGTGTGAGCAACCGGGAAGTGATGACTGACCTCATACCTCTAACAGCACTCAAAACCACTGTATTCATAATCAAT